TTTCTCCAGTGTGTGTACAGGTCTGTCTCTCCAGTATGTGTACATGTCTGTTTCTCCAGTGTGTACACAGGTCTGTCTCTCCAGTATGTGTACATGTCTGTCTCTCCAGTATGTGTACATGTCTGTTTCTCCAGTGTGTGTACATGTCTGTCTCTCCAGTTTGTGTACATGTCTGTTTCTCCAGTGTGTGTACATGTCTGTCTCTCCAGTTTGTGTACATGTCTGTTTCTCCAGTGTGTGTACAGGTCTGTCTCTCCAGTATGTGTACATGTCTGTTTCACCAGTGTGTGTACATGTCGTCATGTGACATGATAGCGGATTTTTTATTAATATTTAGTGTTAACATTTAGAGTGGAGGACTGTGGTCGCCAACCCTCAGGTATGCTTTACGGTACTCTCATTGATCGTGTGTTATTAATATGCGAATGTGTCTGTCTGTCTGTCTTTCTGTCCGTCCGTCCGTCCGCCCGTCTGTCTGTCTGTCTGTTAATGTGTTCTGATAAATTCATGGAATAAAATGGTTTGTTAAAATCGATTGTTGTGACCCAATACGATTTATTTATTTATCATGTCGGATTTATTCTCGTGGTTTATTATATTAGCATGGTTTATTAGCGTGGTTTATTCGCGTGGTTTATTCGCGTGGCTTATTTTATTAGCGTTGATTATTAGCATGTTTTATTCGCGTGGTTTATTTTATGCGCGTGGTTTATTAGCGTGGATTATTAGAGTGGTTTATTCGCGTGGCTTATTTTATTAGCGTGGATTATTAGCGTGGTTTATTCGCGTGGTTTATTTTATTAGCGTGGATTATTAGCGTGGTTTATTCGCGTGGATTATTAGCGTGGTTATTAGAGTGTGGTTTATTTGCGTGGATTATTAGCATGGTTTATTCGCGTGGTTTATTTTATTAGCGTGGTTTATTAGCGTGGTTTATTCGCGTTGTTTATTAGCATGGTTTATTTGCGTGGATTATTAGCATGGTTTATTCCCGTGGTTTAATCTCGTAGAATAATTAATAGCGTCGTTTATTTGCGTGGTTTATTAGTGTGGTTTATTAGCGTGGTATATTTGCGTGGTTTATTCGCGTGGTTTATTAGCGTGGTTTATTAGCGTGGTTTACTCGCATGGTTTATTAGCGTGGCTTATTTGCGTGGTTTATTAGCGTGTTTATTCACGTGGTTTAATCTCGTTGATTCACTAATAGCGTGGTTTATTTGCGTGGTTTATTCGCGTGGTTTATTTGCGTGGTTTATTAGCGTGGTTTATTAGCGTGGTTTATTTGCGTGGTTTATTAGCGTGGTTTATTAGCGTGGTTTATTAGCGTGGTTTATTCTCATGGTTTAAAAAGATTTGCAGAAGTTAGCTGCTGTTTTACTTAGCGTTATATCATAGGTCGTGTAAACTACTGCATCAAAGTGGGTTGCAATTTGTTCACTATTTCACATCTAATTGTTCATCAAAGTTCATCATGTTCCTGTATATCTGTTCATCATGTTCTATATCTGTTCATCATGTTCTATATCTGTTCATCATGTTCTATATCTGTTCATCATGTTCTATATCTGTTCATCATGTTCCTGTATAATTGTTCATCATGTTCCTCTCTATCTGTTCATCATGTTCCTGTATATCTGTTCATCATGTTCCTGTATATCTGTTCATCATGTTCCTCTCTATCTATTTCATCATGTTTCGTGTATCTATTTCATCATGTTCCTGTCATTCATTATGTTTTCCTGTATATCTATTCATCATGTTCCTCTATATCTATTTCATCATATTCCTGTATATCTGTTCATTATATTTCTATCTGTTCATCATGTTCCTGTGTATCTATTTCATCATATTTCTATATCTATTCATCATCATGTTCTGCTTATCTGTTCACTTATGTTCCTGTATATCTGTTCATCATATTTCCTCTATATCTGTTCATCATGTTCCTGTATATCTGTTCATCATGTTCCTGTATATCTGTTCATCATGTTCCTGTATATCTGTTCATCATGTTCCTGTATATCTGTTTATCATGTTCCTGTATATCTGTTCATCATGTTCTACATCTGTTCATCTTGTTCCTGTATATCTGTTCATCATGTTCCTCTATATCTGCTCATTATGTTCTACATCTGTTCATCATGTTCCTGTATTTCTGTTCATCATGTTCCTGTATATCTGTTCATCATGTTCTACATCTGTTCATCATGTTCCTGTATTTCTGTTCATCATGTTCCTGTATATCTGTTCATCATGTTCTACATCTGTTCATCTTGTTCCTGTATATCTGCTCATTATGTTCTACATCTGTTCATCATGTTCCTGTATTTCTGTTCATCATGTTCCTGTATATCTGTTCATCATGTTCCTGTATATCTGTTCATCATGTTCTGTTACATTCCCCCGTCGGGTTGAACACATCACACACACACACACACACACACACACACACGGACCACAGCCCTTTCTCATTTGACTGACAGAAATGTTTTTCAGGGGTGAGGGATATTTTGAAAGAACTTCAGTAACCAAGTTCATGAAAGAGTGATTTTACGAGTCTGAAATTGGCTTCTGACCTTCGCTTAACACAGGATGTAAGGAGGTGCTCAATAAACTAGCCCATGTGTTGCGTGGGGGGGGCGGGCAAATCTGAAGCTGCTGTGTTAGTTATAATTTTTTCTTCAATTATTATAACGTGTCTTTACGGCATTCATTAATGTGCTTATTTTGCCTCTCTCTCGGCTTCCTTCCTTCCGTTCTTCCTTCCTCCCTTCCTCTCTGTATCACTGCTTCCTTCCTTCCTTCCTTCCTTCCTCTAGTACTCAAAATATATTCACCTTCGTTCATTATATCTCACTCACACTGTCAACTGGAAGGTCGGTGTAAGAGACCTGACTTTCACCTCACCCTTACAACATAATGGTGAAGATTTGTAAACAGTCGTAAGAATCTGAGACGTATTTTATGACTTAGATATTGCGTGGTGTACTACGAGGGGGAGAGACAGGCCAGGCCAAAGTCTAAAGAGAACTAGCGTCTGAACAATCAACCACTATCTCATAACTAGCATCTCAACAATCAACCACTATCTCATAACTAGCATCTCAACAAACAACCACTATCTCATAACTGGTATCTCAACAATCAACCACTATCTCATAACTAGTATCTCAACAATCAACCACTATCTCATAACTAGCATCTCAACAATCAACCACTATCTCATAACTAGCATCTCAACAAACAACCACTATCTCATAACTAGTATCTCAACAATCAACCACTATCTCATAACTAGCATCTCAACAATCAACCACTATCTCATAACTAGTATCTCAACAATCAACCACTATCTCATAACTAGCATCTCAACAATCAACCACTATCTCATAACTAGCATCTCAACAATCAACCACTATCTCATAACTAGCATCTCAACAATCAACCACTATCTCATAACTAGCATCTCAACAAACAACCACTATCTCATAACTAGCATCTCAACAATCAACCACTATCTCATAACTAGCATCTCAACAATCAACCACTATCTCATAACTAGCATCTCAACAATCAACCACTATCTCATAACTAGTATCTCAACAATCAACCACTATCTCATAACTAGTATCTCAACAATCAACCACTATCTCATCACTAGCATCTCAACAATCAACCACTATCTCATAACTAGTATCTCAACAATCAACCACTATCTCATAACTAGCATCTCAACAATCAACCACTATCTCATAACTAGCATCTCAACAATCAACTACTATCTCATAACTAGCATCTCAACAATCAACCACTATCTCATAACTAGCATCTCAACAGAGTTTTTTTTTTTTTAAAGCTCAGTTGAAACCAAGAGTGCAGGCGGCCATTATTCGATACCCTTGGCGTCTATGTTTTTTATAGGGAGTGTTTTTACGTACAGTGTATGTTCAGGGGGTCACGTTAACTAGTAATCTCTATTAACATTTAAAATTGAACTTACGTTAACTAAAGCTCTCAGTTATGTCATATTGACGTAAGTGAGTGAGTGAGGTCATCGACGGAACTTGTGTTGGTTAGGTCTTCCACTGGAGGTGTCCGCAACAATGGCGGACTCCACGTTACTATCCCAGCCGCTCGCTTGCAGTATGTTGCGATGACGTCACTCAGTTCTTTCAAGGTCACTTAACAAAAGTATAAGGATAACATCTTTACTTTGTTGATGGTGACAGAAAAACTTTACAAAATAAGATTTGCGGTTACAACACTGATTCTGCATAAATTTTATTCATATTCGGTGAGTGTGTGTGTTAACCATTTGTTAGTTCACCATTGTCCTTCATTGTATGTAAAATAATTCTGGTGCTCACAGGCACGTGTGTGTACTGTGTCTTCAATATATATTCTTCAAATTGTAATAGTGAAATAATAGACTACATTATCTTATCATTTTTGTTACATTACTTAAAAATGTGATAAATATTAAGGTAATCAGAAGTGGTACAGTGGCGAGCCTTGAAGACTCCCAACTTGTGCCGGAGACCTCCGTCATTGCCACGTTAATGGCGGGTCACATACCATCTTTCGTGTATGTCGTCGACGTAACACATTACTGGAGTCTGCATTTTCACCACTTGTAAATGACACTCCAGGGTCGAACTGTTATCGCATTACCAAGCTGGTGGATGACCCTCGATAAAGGATAGTTGGACATTTTGATTACTTCAGAAGACCAAGTAATCCTTTACAGTTGTAGACGATGAGTTTGACGACATGAGGGAAGCAGAAGACTGATTACTTCCTTGCTCTCTCGGTGTTACTTAACGCTGGAACGTCCGTGAGGTGCAGCAGTGGCAATAAGACTCAACAGCGACAGGTGCATGATGGCCGTTCATTGAGTTCACCTGTGCGGGCCTCTGCGTGAGGTGGCGCCGCTCTAGTGGGAGACGCCACAAGCTCGTGGCGAGGGTTCAGGCGGCGAGCCAGTGTATGGTGGACGCGTGAGGGGACACCAGCTCGCTCGTCGCTCCTCCACACGCTTCCAGCCACACAGTCATGCCCGCCCGCTAACCTCCGTGCACTGAACCATGATGGAAATGTTATAACCATACTTTGGCCGCATGATGACCATAATTGCATGATCTGTCATGACGTAATATTGTCTGACTGGACGTAGGGGTATGATAATTGCTACGTGGTGTCCCAGTGTCCCTTGTGTCCCTGTGATGTGTGTCGTGTTGATGAGGGCAGCGGCCTAGGGGGGAGCTAGGGGGCCTGCACCTCCTGCTACCTTCCTTCACCCCTGGGCTGGAGTCTCTTCACCCTCTAGCTACTACTGTTGGTGTCCGTGTTTGTGTACTAGGGAGGGGCGGGAGGAACCTGGACCTATCACGGGAGTTCCTGTGTCGTAGTTTCGCCTCAGCCTTCAGGGCGCCTGTGCCTGATGGAGTGCATGGCGGAAGTAATGCCCAGGGGTCGCTGCAATACGTGGCCCCCACCTACCCAGGATGACCTGCCCCCCCACCATTACTATCCCCCCACGCCCATGCCCCCCCAACATGCCCACCAGTACCCAGTGTTGGGTGAGGGCGCCGGGTGTTCCGTCACTCCGGCGGCCGTGGTGCCCCCTTCCAGTAGTACCAAGAAGGGCGGCAGCATCCGACGGAACGCCTGGGGCGGCAAGAGCTACGCCGACCTCATCACCTCGGCCATCAACTCGGCGCCCGACGGCCGCCTCACCCTCGCTCAGATCTACGACTGGGTGGTGGCCAACATTCCCTACTTCAAGGACAAGGGCGACTCCAACTCCTCGGCTGGATGGAAGGTACGTAACACAACGCCCGCATCAGACACAAGCAAACGATGCCAAGGGCTCCCTCCGCCTCCATTAACTCCAGCCTTCCTGGTTGGTTATGAGATGAAAGTTTTGTAAGCTTACACGACTGTTCATATAATAGTCAGCAATAATGACTCAGTCTGGATTATGAAAGAAAGCTTGAAATTAGTAGTGTGCGTGCGTGTGTGTGAGTGAAGGTCGCGGCGAGCGGTACAGTACAACCTTCACCCTTCGGCGTCTTTATCAAGATGGTAGAGCGCCGCCCGGGACTGTACTGACCCGGGTAAGTTTGCTTTACCCTGAATTATTATATTTAATTCTCACAAATCTTTCACATCCACGACAGGAGAATTATTCAGAGTTAATTTCAACACAGCGCAAGTGTTACATCTGGCCAGAGTTAAAAATATACCTACTGTATTAACTTACAAAAATACCGTATTCCTCTATATGCACCTACAGCACATGTGTAATTTGGGGATGAGATTAAGTACATTGTCATTACTAATTATTCGGTTATAATAGGGCATCACTAATTACCCACTGACAAATTAATTAGCTGTAACTTTCATCAAATCTTACTTGGAAGTTTGGGATTGTGTTGACTTGGTGAGAAGACCAGTCATGAAGAATGTGTAAACCAAAGAGAAACGTACATAAACACATTGATTACGTACATGAGGTGTGTGTTGTAGTTTGTTACATTTGCTAAGGTTATTTGCACCGTTATAATGACTTGAGGATACGATGAAGGTGTAAATAATTCCAGGGTAGTTTAGCGAGATAATATTATTAAATACAGTACGACGCTGACCCTGGCCCCGCCCGGCCTCGCCTCATCCCGCCGTGTATGTGTGTGTGTGTGTGCAGCCCGGTAAGACCAGTGCGCTAGCTAGTTCACTGTAACCTCCCTCCTACACAACACATTCTTCTAAAAATTAATATTCACGCACACAGCTCATCATTTACCTGCAATGATCATCAATAATATTAAGTATGCTTTATAAATGCCACAAAATGATGATAATTATGAAAAACACCCAATGATATACAGTAGGCGACTCTGGATATCTCTACACATAGCTAGAATGTTGTATATATGTGTGTGTACACTGGCGGAACCCTGCAGGACAGACGTATCAAGGTTTTCTAGGAATCTGATGAGCCGACTACAAGATAGTCTAGTCTTGCTCTGATTATATCCTTATCAACAACACGGCGAGGCCCTCCTTACATTATTGTACGGTGTTTGTCCTTTCATTCTAGGCACTCATCTGATTTTTTTTTTTGTACGGATGGATGTGGGTGACGACATATTAATACACGCTTTTGAATTTAAACGTTCATGTGCGTATTTGCGTGTGTATGTATTTGTGTGTTTATAATCAGTAACCCGTTTATAAGTATATCACATTTTTCCTCACACATTATACTATACTTTAAGATATTCACTTAGTCGTCTCTGAAAGGTGACCCTTGAAATGTAGCAAACTGAAGCGTTACATGTGAGGCCTTACACCGAATTGAGCAGCGGTAGACGGCGGGCGACACAGTGCAGTAGGTTACTCGTGTTGCTCTTAGCCGAGTCCACTACTGATATATCTCTTCATCTTAGGATTAGTGAGTTTTATACCGAGTAAAGCGGTGTTTACTGTATGGTGGGCAGCGAGTGTCTCGTGATGTGGTGTAGCCTAGGTGTTGTGGTGTACACACACTATATATATATATATATATATATATATATATATATATATATATATATATATATATATATATATATATATATATATATATATATATATGAACTGTGTGTGTTGTGGTGTATATACCCTGCTATAGAATTCATTTATGTATTCTGTTAGGGTGTAGTCAAGACACACCGTGTGTTGTGTTATGGTGTAGTCAAGACACACCGTGTGTTGTGTTATGGTGTAGTCAAGACACACCATGTGTTGTGTTATGGTGTAGTCAAGACACACCATGTGTTGTGTTATGGTGTAGTCAAGACACACCATGTGTTGTGTTATGGTGTAGTCAAGACACACCATGTGTTGTGTTATGGTGTAGTCAAGACACACCATGTGTTGTGTTATGGTGTAGTCAAGACACACCATGTGTTGTGTTATGGTGTAGTCAAGACACACCATGTGTTGTGTTATGGTGTAGTCAAGACACACCGTGTGTTGTGTTATGGTGTAGTCAAGACACACCATGTGTTGTGTTATGGTGTAGTCAAGACACACCATGTGTTGTGTTATGGTGTAGTCAAGACACACCATGTGTTGTGTTATGGTGTAGTCAAGACACACCGTGTGTTATGTTATGGTGTAGTCAAGACACACCGTGTGTTGTGTTATGGTGTAGTCAAGACACACCGTGTGTTGTGTTATGGTGTAGTCAAGACACACCGTGTGTTGTGTTATGGTGTAGTCAAGACACTATGTATTGTGTTATAGTGTAGTCAAGACACACCGTGTGTTGTGTTATGGTGTAGTCAAGACACTATGTATTGTGTTATGGTGTAGTCAAGACACACCGTGTGTTGTGTTATGGTATAGTCAAGACACTATGTATTGTGTTATGGTGTAGTCAAGACACACCATGTGTTGTGTTGTGGTGTAGTCAAGGCATTGCGTTGTGTTGTGGTGTAGTCAAGGCATTGTGTTGTAATGTAGTCAAGGCATTGTGTTGTGGTGTAGTCAAAGCATTGTGTTATGGTGTAGTCAAGGCATTGTGTTGTGTTGTGGTGTAGTCAAGGCATTGTGTTGTGTTGTCAAGGCATTGTGTTGTGGTGTTGTGTGAATAAAGATTAGGTTGTGGTAAATAAGGCATTGTTGTGTTGTGTGAAATGCTTATCAGTTGTGGTGTAGTCAAGGCATTGCGTTGTGTTGTGGTAGAAATAAAGCATTGTGTTATTGTGGGTAGTCAAGGCATTGTGTTGTGGTAGAAAAGGCATTGTGTTGTGTTGTGGTGTAGTCAAGGCATTGTGTTGTGGTGTAGTCAAGGCATTGTGTTGTGGTGTAGTCAAGGCATTGTGTTGTGTTGTGGTGTAGTCAAGGCATTGTGTTGTGTTGTAGTCAAGGCATTGTGTTGTGGTGTAGTCAAGGCATTGTGTTGTGTTGTAGTGAAGGCATTGTGTTGTGTTGTAGTGAAGGCGTTGTATTGTGTTGTGGTGTAGTGAAGGCATTGTGTTGTGGAGTAGTGAAGGCATTGTATTGTGTTGTGGTGTAGTCAAGGCATTGTGTTATGGTGTAGTCAAGGCATTGTGTTGTGGTGTAGTCAAGGTATTGTGTTGTGGTGTAGTCAAGGCATTGTGTTGTGGTGTAGTCAAGGCATTGTGTTGTGGTGTAGTCACGGCATTGTGTTGTGGTGTAATCACGGCTATGTGTTTTGTTGTGTTGTAGTCAAAGAAGTGTGTGTGTGTGTGTGTGTGTGTGTGTGTGTGGCTCTATATTCACTGACCTTTAGGTAGATTGAGTTATTTTCCTGTGATGGCTTTAATTCGTATTGTAATCTGTATTTTATTCTGCGTCAGTATTGTAGGTGTTTTGAATCATTTGGTCTCTTGGTGGCAACATTTTATTTACACTTCTTAATTATGAGGGAGTCACGTGTTCCACTGTTACATGCTACTGCTGATGAGGAGTTAATCAATACGGATTTGTTCTCTTTTTTACGATTTATAACAAATTTGAGATCACTTGGAAGATATGTGTCCCTCGCTAGCTCATTTCACCTTAAGATTGACCACCCTAGCGCTATCTGCCGAGGGGGTTGAGGGTAGGTTAGCGTTAGGTTAGGTTAGGTTAGGTTAGCGTTAGTGGTCAGTCTTGAGGCGAAAGAGGCTGTGGTGAATCTTCATGTGATCATCAGGTTTAAGTCTTGGGTATTTTGCTGAGATGAATTGGACTAATGAGCATTAGAGTGGGTCCGTGAGCCTTGAGGATGACCTTTGACCAGGACGACTTTCAGATATCGCCCTCGAGGCAGAACTGCAGCGCGAGTGGAGGTCCTTTATTAGCACACATTGATGTAATATTACTGTCACTAAATGTGTTAGACGTTAATACTTCTGATGAGTTACCTGGTGATAGTTATGCTGACCTGATGTCAAAACTGCTTGACGTCGACCTGATGTCAAAACTGCATGACGTCCTCTGGGAGAAGAAGGACGAGGGATGGTGGCTGCTGCTGCACAGGGCTTTCCTCTCTAACTCAACCATCCTCCCTAGAAAGTTGAATTACTGTTGTCTGCTTCAAAACGTGTACTGAGGCCGTCTCCTCCACGCTGCCTTTAGGATGGTGAGTAGAGGGAGGCGTGTACTGAGGCCGTCTCCTCCACGCTGCCTCTAGGATGGTGAGTAGAGGGCGTGTACTGAGGCCGCCCTCCACGCTGCCTCTAGGATGGTGAGTGAGGGAGGCGTACTGAGGCCGTCTCCTCCACGCTGCCTCTAGGATGGTGAGTGAGGGGAGGCGTGTACTGAGCCGTCTCCACGCTGCCTCTGATGGTGAGTAGAGGGAGGCGTGTACTGAGGCCGTCTCCTCCACGCTGCCTCTAGGATGGTGAGTAGAGGAGGCGTGTACTGAGGCCGTCTCCTCCACGCTGCCTCTCGGATGGTGAGTAGAGGAGGCGTACTGAGGCCGTCTCCCACGCTGCCTCTAGGATGGTGAGTAGAGGGAGGCGTACTGAGGCCGTCTCCACGCTGCCTCTAGGATGGTGAGTAGAGGGAGGCGTGTACTGAGGCCGTCTCCTCCACGCTGCCTCTAGGATGGTGAGTAGAGGGAGGCGTGTACTGAGGCCGTCTCCACGCTGCCTCTAGGATGGTGAGTAGAGGGAGGCGTGTACTGAGGCCGTCTCCTCCACGCTGCCTCTAGGATGGTGAGTAGAGGGAGGCGTGTACTGAGGCCTCCACGCTGCCCTAGGATGGTGTAGAGGGAGGCGTGTACTGAGGCCGTCTCCTCCACGCTGCCTCTAGGATGGTGAGTAGAGGGAGGCGTGTACTGAGGCCGTCTCCACGCTGCCTCTAGGATGGTGAGTAGAGGGGAGGCGTGTACTGAGGCCGTCTCCTCCACGCTGCCTCTAGGATGGTGAGTAG